GACCCCCTCGGCGGCGGAGGCGCGATCGCGGAGGCCCAGGACGCACAAGGTGACCGCCACGTTCACGTCCTGCACGTCCAGCTCCCGCCGCAGGGAGCCCAAGAAGCCGTCGAGCGCGAACTTGGCCGCGGAGTACGGGATGGAGAAGGACGCGGGCACGCGGCCTGCAAGGCAGGAAGTGTGCCCGCCTGCCCCGGCCGGGTCCCCCGCACCGTCCGAGCGCCCCCGCACGGCCCGAGCCGCGTGCACGCACCGAGCAACGAGGACACCACCACCAGGGAACCCTTGCTGTCCGTCAGGCTGGGCAGCGCCCGCGAAGTCAGCTGCACGTAACTCAGGAAGTTCACCTGCGAGTCACAGGGCGGAGGCGGAGCCCAGGCCTGGGGGCGGAGCTTAAACCCAATGGGGCGGGGCCTTCTGATTGACACGAGAAGGACCCGCTAGGGGCGGAGCCTAGGGCCCAGGGGGTGTGGCTTGCAGAGCTGAGCGTCAGCCAGAGGAAGGGGCCAAGTCAGGGAGTGGGCGGAGCCTAGGAGTTAGGCGGGGCGGGGTCAAAGGACATTTTGGGCGGCCAGCCTGAGGTGCAAGCCCGACAGAGGGGGTGGGGCCAAATTTAGGATGCGGCCTGCACCAGGCCTGTAAAAGCCAGGAGGCGGAGCCAATGAGGGAGAAGGTGGTGTCTTGTGGGCGGGGCCTTGGAGAGGGCGTGGCCAAGGCCGAGCGGGGCGGGGCACCTGCATGAGCCAGCGTGTGGTCTGGGCGCTGCGGACCCGCATGCCGGCCGGGGTGCTGCCCATGTGATTCAGCACAAGGTAGTCCAGCCCGCCTGGCCCAGAAAGATTGGTCAGTATGAAGTGGCCCTGAGGGGTCCCGACCCTGGTCCATGTTAAACTGAGTCCTGGGCCTCTCCTCCCTGGTGTGGTTCCGCTCTCTCGCATAGTCTCGCCTAAAGCAGCACCCAATCTTGAGATTCCTGGGTCCCACAGAATTTCAATCCTATGCAGTGTGGACAGATCCACAACTCCATATCACCTCCCCGCCCCTCACCCCCAAACACCCCAGGATCCTGAATGTCCTCGCCCCCCAGGTCTGGTTCACCCAGGCTCTGCCCCTCCCCCAAGAGCCCAGGCCCCACCCCTCCCCCCGCTGGTCCAGACCCCCCAAGCCCCGCCCCTCCCCCGCTGGTCCAGACCCCCCCA